CTTTGTTATTGTTTCTTGCTGATTCTGAGTAATTGTAAAAGTTAAAAGTCTGATGTAACCCCCTGCCAAGTTCCTTGATTGTAAAAGAATATAAGCACTGATTTTGCAGAAGTAAATCTGCAGCAGCACATCAACACATTGTGTGTCTGTCTGTCATTTTCCTCGCCGATTCCTGACTTCTCCTCGAGCCTTCTCCCTGGTTCTCCCGCAGTGGTGGTCTCCCTCTGGGTGGTCTGCGGCATGTGTTCAGGAATACAGCCAGCATTGGAGACACACACCTTTAAGACCTGGAGGGCTGTACTTACATGCAGTGACGAGGCAGTCACATGTTCGTGTTTACAACCAATGAGAAGGCAGAACAGAAAGACTATATAAAGACAAACACACAGGAAGTAGGTCTCTTTCGGAGAGGTAGGATCACCACAGGAGGAAGAATACGGTTTTAGCTCTGAGCTCTGACCTCTTGGCTTTGTCTTTTACATTGGTTCTGTGTTTCTTATTTAATAAGACGGTTGGTTACATCTACAGAGAAGGAACATTGCCAAATTCATTTTAAGAGGCCACAGTCACCCTGATACCTAAACTACACAAAGACTTAACAAATAAAGACAGTTATAGTTTTGCCTCATGAACATTGAGGCAAAATACTCAATAAAATACTCCCAAACGTATCCATGAACATATCAAAAAGATCATCCACCACAATCAGGTAGGTTTCAGCCAAGAGGCATAGGGAGAGATCAACATACAAACATCTGTCCATATAAGCCACTGTATAAACAAATATAAAGAAATAAAGCAGATGATCCTTTCATATGATGCTGAAAAGGCCTTTGAAAACAACACAACACCTCTTCATGATAAAAGTCTTGGATGGATCAGGGATACAAAAAGCACACCTCAAAAAAATAAAGGCAATTTATTTTAGACTATAGCCAACATCAAATTAAATACAATCTCAAAGCAGTTGCACTAAAATCAGGAACAAGAGAAACCAGTCCACTCTTTCCATATCTACTCAATAGAGTCCTAAATGTTTTAGCTAGAGAAAGACAGCTAAAGAGATCAAGAGCATACATAATGGAAATGAAGGAATCATAGTGTCATTAACTGCAGATAATATGATAGTTTATATAAACAACTCCAAAAATTCTATCAGGGAACTCCTACAGCTGATAAACACCTTCATTGAAATGGCAGGATACAAGATTAAGTCTAAAAATCGGTACTTCTCCTACATACAAATGACAAACAGGCTGAGAAAGAAATTAAGGAGACAACTCCCTTCTTAATAGCAACAAATAATAAAAAAAATATCTTGGGGTAACAATAACCAAGCAAGTGAAAGACCTGTACTTCATCTTTGAAGAAAGAAATTGGAGAAGATATCAGAAGACAGAAAGATCTCCAGTGCTCATGAATCTGTAGGGTTAATATAGTAACAATGGCCACCTTACCAAAAATAATCAACAGATTCAATGCAATCACTACCAAAATTCCAACACAATTCTTTACATTCCTCAAACAAATAATACTCAATTTCATATGGAAAAACAAAAATCCCAGGACAGATAAAACAATCCTGTACAATAAAAGAACTTCTGGAGGTATCACTATCCATGATTTCAAGCTGTAATACAGAGTATAGTAATAAAAACCACATGGTATTAGCAGAAAATCAGACAGGTGGATCAACATAATTGAATCATAGACCTAGATATAAATACACACAACTGATTTTTTATTTTGAAAAAGTCAGAAACACAATGTGAAATGAAAACACCTTCAGCAAATGCTGGTGTTCTTACTTGATGTTGGTCTGTGGAAGAATGCAAAAAGATCCCTATCTATCACCCTGCACAAAACTTAAATCCATGCAATTCAAAGACCACGGCATAAAACCAGAAACAGTGAATCTCATAGAAGACAATGTGGGGAACAGCCTTGAACTCAGTGGTACAGGAGACATCTTCCTGAGCAGAACACCAATAGTAGAAGCACTAAGATTGGCAACCAAAAACTGGGACCTCACAAAACTTAAGAGCTTCTGTAAGGCAAAGGATGCCATCAATAGCACAAAATGACAGACTACAGAATGGGAAAAGATTTGCAGCAACTCCACATCTGACAGAGGGCTAATGTCCAAAATCTATAAATAACTTAAAAAACTGGACATCAACAAACAAAATAATTCAAATTGAAAATTTAGGTACACATCTGAACAGAGAATTCTCAGCAGAGGTATCTCAAATGGCCAAGAAGCACTTAAAGTAGTGTTTGACACCCTCTGCCACATAAAAATACAAATCAAAATGACTCAGAGATTGCATCATACACCCCTAATAAAGGCTAAGATCAAAAATACAAGTGATAGCTGAGTGGTGGTGACAAGCGTCTTTGTCCTCGCACCGGAGAGGCAGAGGTAAGTATATCTTTGTGAGTTCATTGATAGACTGTGTCCAGGAAAAGCTTTACAACATCCAAGTCTACAGAGAAACTCTCTCTAGAAAAGCAAATACATTTTTTAATTAAAAATAAACCTTAAGTGACAGCTCGTGCTTGCAAGTATGTGAAGAAAAAGGAACACTCCTCCATTGCTGGTGGAGAGTTGCTCAACTATGTTCATAGTATCTTCATAATAGTCAGAAAGTGGAAACAACCTAGATATTCCTCAACCAAAGCAGGGATAGAGAAAATGTGCTATGTTTACATAATGGAGCATTACTCAGCTGTTAAAAACAATGACATTATGAAGTTCAAAAACAAGTGGACGGAACCAGAAAAAGAAATCATCCTGATTGAGGTAACTGAGACCCAGAAAGACAAACATGGTCTATACTCACTGATAAAGATATATTAGCTGTAAAGGATGATAATGCTACAATACACAGACCCAGAAGCTAAGTAACAAGGAGAGCTCAAGAGAGGATGCAAGAATATCCTTTGGAAGGGAAAATAGAAAGATTTCATTGGTGGAATTGGGAAGGGTGGAGATGGGAACAGGAGAGATGAGGTAGTCCTGGGAAAGAGGGAGAGAGTCTTGGGAGAGCCAAGGAATTGGGGGTCTGTTGATGTAACCAACCGTCTTATTAAATAAGAAACACAGAAACAATGTAAAAGAGAAAGCCGAGCTGTCAGAGCTCAGAGCTAAAATCTCACCCTTCCTCCTGCTGTCCCAGCTTCGCAAAAAAGAGCTACTTCCTGTCTATAAATCGATTTTCCAGTCATTCTGCCTTCTCATTGGTTGTAAACCCAAACACGTGACTGCCTCGTCACTGTCTGAATGTACAGCCCCCTAGGTCTTAAAGGCATATGTCTCCAATGCTGGCTGTATCCCTGAACACACAGAGATCTATGGGATTAAAAGCGTGTGCCACCACCGCCACACTCTTGCTATGGCTCTAATAGCTCTGACCCCTGGGCAACTTTATTTATTAACATACAATCAAAATCACATTTCAGTACAATTAGATTGCCACCACAGGGGTCATTTTGGAGGTGTGGTAGAAACCAAGTGCAATGAACACTCCCAGGAATCTGCAAGGGTGATGCTAGCAAAGACTCTGAGTAATGGGACCACCTGAATTGGTCATCTTCTGTAACCAGGCAAGGCTTCCAGTTAAGTGATTGGGACACCAACCTAGCCACTAAACCCTAAACCGGATGTGCTGGGGTAAAAGAGGGGCAGAAGTTGTGGAGTGGACAACCAATGATTGGTACAGCTTGAGACCCATGCCATGAGAGGGAGCCCACAACTGGCACAGTCTGGGGGCCAGATATAAGAGGTGGGATAGCCCAGAGACCAAGGGTAGAGCTAAATATGAATTTAAATAAATAAGTAAATAAATAATAAAGTCAATGAAATTATTCCTAGGGGTACTCACCTCTACTCATAAACAGGAGACTATCATAAGCATCACCAGAGAGTCTTCATCCAGCAATTGGTGGGAGCACATGTAGAGATCCACAGTGGAACAACAGCTGGAGTCCTGGAAATCCTGCAGAACATGGGGAGGAAGGATTATAAAATTCCAAGAGTTCAAGGACCTGGGCCTCATAAACAACTAACCAGGTCTCATAATTACTCACAGAGACTGAACCAAATTTTCTATATAAGTTTTTAACTTTTTATGTTTGGGGGCTAACAAGGTCAATTCTACAATATTATCTTCTGTTTGCATAATAATTCCAGTAGAAGAATTGATAGAAGGTAAAAGAACTAAAATATATTCTAGTTTAGGACTTAATTGATCCAGATATGCCTCATGTAATATTTTTTCCACTTTGGTCATTTCTTTCCCAGCTTCAGCTGTTAGATCTCACAGACTATTTAAATCTGAATTACTATGCAAAGTTTGAAATAAATACCATATTTCTTGAGTAAGTAATCCAATATTGAGTCATACACAATTAATATCTCCCAGTAGTATTTCAAAATTGTTGAGACTTTGCAATTGATGTCTTCTGACCTGAACCATTTGGTGTTGAATAATTCTGTTGACTCAATTTAAATCCTATACAGTTTATAGAATTTGTTCTCTGTATCTTCTCGGGTGTAATCTGAAATATCCAATAAATAAAATGTTTTCTGCTTCATTAAACGTTCTTTCTAAGGTATCTGTATCAGAAGCAGCTAATAAAGTAACATCCATATATGGTAATTAATGGATTGATAAAATTGTTTAATAACCAATTCCAGAGGTTGAGACACAAAATATTGGCATAAAGTTGGACTGTTTAAATTCCTTGTGTGAGTATTTCAATTTCTTCTTCATAATTTTCATCTATAATTCCTGGGTGTACTATAAATCTTTGAGATATTAATCTACTCCTTTGAAAAATCATCCTCCACTTTCCCTGAGGAAAAAGGAGCATACATTCTAGTGGCTATTTTAAAAGAAGTAATTTGTAGAGATAGTGTAAGATGTTTACTCTCAGCCAAATTTAAATGAGCACTACTGAAAGTAGCATACGTTAAATCTCCAATACTAAACTTGCATTCCACTGATTGCTTTGTTTTTGAGATTATTCCATTGCTGAGAGGATATAAGTGGCTCATACTGTTTGGTGCCTGGCAATGAAATAAGTCCTTTACCAGGTTTCCCTGTGGTAAGGGATAAACATGCACATCCCTCACTGATTCACATGTAATAATCCAATGCAATTAATCTAAGTCTGTTTCTTATAAATGAGGAAGAGAAGATTCATCCCCAGTATCTTGAGCCTCCATACCTTCATCTTACTTGAAAACAATGTTTTTGTTTTCCTCTGAGACAACATTCTCTTTTGACAAGTCCTCATCAGAATATCCTTCTTCTTAATTCACATTTCCACATCTGATGAATCCTTTTCTCAGTCTTCACTCTGCAGCAGCTCCAAAGCATTGGGAATTGATTTACATAAAGACCACATCTCTCATAGTATAGCTTCTTTAATGAGCCTTCCAAAAAGCTCTCAATACTTTGACAATGTCATTTTAATTGAACATGAGGAGTTGCCTGAAACCAATACAAAGCCACTTAATTAGGTCCAAAAGGTCATTAAGCTGTTTTTCTTTTATTTCACTCCATGTCTTTTGTCAAGGGTTTTAACAACTGCACATACTGCTGCTTCTGAAATGGGAAATTCCTCATGTCCCTTCCCAATTTTGGAGTCTCAGTTACCTGTGAGTGTACTTAACCTGCAGTCCTGGAGCATCTAGATCCTTCATTTCCTTGAGCATTACAGTTTGGGTACCAAATGTCAGTAACTGTTTCATATAAGATGACCCCAAAAAAGAAAGAAAGTGACTTGAGGATGCCATGAAGCCTTGGGAGAACAAAGGGAAAATCATAGTGGACTGAAACCTGAGAAGCCTTGAAAAAACATTTTATTAATTGTTACACAAAATGTATTTTTAAAAAGTCAATTCCACATATCATAGGCTTTGATCTGATCTAGGAGATGTCAGAAGGAACACATTACCCAAGCCATTCTCAGCCATTGCAAGACTTCCAGGTTTGCCCTGAATATCTTGTGACTGAATTCATGCAAACAGTCAGAAGCTCCAACACAAAAAAGCAGCTTCATGAATCTCAGATAACAATCACTGCTTAATACAAAGGATAATTTCAAAAACTAGTTGTGCCATCACTCCTGAGTTTATGTCAGGTAAAATGGCTCTACTGTATTTCCCAGAGTAGGCTGTGTGTCTGCTGTGATGTGACTAGCAACTTCAAGGTCCTATACCTTGACTTCCCCACAGTGATATGCTGTGTCTTGGATCGATGAGCCAAACCATCTCTTCCTCCTCCTTCAGGTTCCTCTTCTCAAGTTGAATTATCACAGCACAAGAAATGATACGAAGGCAGGTTGCCTGACCTGAGTTAATTCTTCAGCCCACAGGACCTGGAGGAATATAAGACTGATGCTGGCAGACACCAGCTAAAATGAGTACTTCCAAAAGGATAGTATCCAAAGATACCCAGAGAACCAGGGAAGTGTCCTTGTGATGATAAAGAGGAACACAGACATCAGAAATGTACTGAAAGAGGGGAGAAAACCTCATCTGTGAAATGGCTGTATGCTGGTGTTCCTCCTCTCATCCAGAAAGTTACCTGGGGGGAGATGAGATAGAAGACAGGATTTAGGGCATTCACCTGATGTCTTTTCAGATTGGTGATCTCTGAATACTGTACAATGGAAAGATTCTGTTCCAGTGCATGTTCATAGGCAATTTGTATTGAAAGACTGCCAGACCAAACCAGGAAAAGTAAGCTATAGTTCAGAGCTGTTCTATTCCATTTACTATGCAAAGCCA